CTTGTGTTTCGCTTCTATGGCCTGCCTGAGGACATCGTGTCGGACCGGGGGCCCCAATTCACATCCAGAGTATGGTCAGCATTCTTCCAACAACTCAACATCAACATTAGCCTCACTTCAGGATATCACCCACAATCTAATGGTCAGACAGAACGCCTCAATCAGGAGATCACCCGGTTTCTCAGAGCCTACTGTCATCAGAACCAAGCAGACTGGAGTCGATTCCTCATGTGGGCGGAGTATGCACAGAACTCACTCCAGAAACCCTCCACCGGTCTAACTCCATTCCAATGTGTAATGGGCTTCCAACCTCCCCTATTTCCATGGTCAGGGGAACCCACCGAGGTACCCTCTGTCAACGACTGGCTCCAGAGAAGCGAGGACATCTGGAGTCAGGCTCACACCCACTTGCTACGTGCTGTCAGGAGACAGAAGTTGCAGGCCAATCGTCACCGTCGCCCCAATCCCGAATATACTCCAGGTCAATGGGTCTGGCTATCCACTCGAGACCTACGCCTCAGACTTCCTTGCAAGAAACTCAGTCCCAGGTATGTAGGTCCCTTCCAAATTGTTAAACAGATTACACCAGTTTCCTTCCGTTTGGCATTACCCTCTAATTATCGTATCTCTCCCACTTTTCATGTATCACTTCTCAAACCCGCTGGTGGTCCGAGAGCGGAGGAGGAGGAGCAGACCAGTGATCAGGGCCCCCCACCCATCTTGGTGGACGGCGAGGAGGCATATCAGGTTCGAGATCTACTCGATTCCAGACGCCGGGGCAGGCTCCTCCAATATCTGGTGGATTGGGAGGGGTACGGACCGGAGGAGCGATCCTGGGTTAATACAGAGGACATACTCGACCCCGCACTCATGACTGAGTTCCATAGGACGCACCCGGAGAAACCGGCCCCCCGACCTCGAGGAAGACCCCGGCGTCGTTCGCCTCTTCGCGTCAGGAGCCGCTCGCAGGGGGGGGGCTCTGTCACAAACGAGACTCCCGCTGTTCCTCCTGCTCACCACCAGAGGGAACCCTCTCCTGAGTATTAAACCCCTGATCTACATTTCCCACATACCTGGCTCTGATTACCGTTGCACCTGACTCCCATCAGTAGACTATTTAGGTGCTCTCAAACTCTCTCTCTTTGCGAAGTCTTGTTTACCCTGGTGATCTTTTCTGAGCGTTTTCGCCTGTGTCTGTCTGCCCGTGGATTTACTCTGGACTGTTTTTCCCTCCTTGATTCTTTGCTGCCTGCCCTGGACTATATTCTTTACTGGACTGATTTTTGTAAGCTTGCTGCCTGCCCTGACCTTATGCCTGTACCTGGATTACGAGTTGCCTTATCCCTACTGTTGTGTCTGCTGGCGATTGACCCTGTTTGTACGACCAAGATTGTAATAAAACTGCAAATGGATCCTCACTCTCCTGGAGCGTCATTACAGCTATAGCTACACTAACAGTAGGACATCTAATAACAATAACAAAATCATTTAGATAACTCTTAGAATTACAATAGAAGTAAAATATTACCAGGGTCATGGGTGGACAAGGACCCATTTCATGAACCTAAAGAAAGAAATAGTAATGGTGCGTTAGTACTACATGTCCATGTAGTCTCTTGATGATATTTGTTGGGATGTTTGGGGATGTTGGTTAATATATGGTTTGTAGTGTCAATACCTGTAGTTGGATGCAGGGTGGTATGGCTGCTGGCACCAAATCCGTGTTTCATTTCTGTAATCCACATTTACACTATTTGAGGTTGAGATTACCATTCAAATGTCAGCTTGTTTGTAAATACACACAGTCCTCAGCCTCTGAGTTCTTTGTCCCCATATGCCATGAATTTGGACAGCCAGTCCACATACTCCTTCTCCGGGTAGCCCTTGGTGTACTAGTTGAGGATCTGCACCCCGTCCCACTTCCTCTCAGTCGGCAGAGCTTGATAAACTGGGACCACCCACTGCATAGTGGCATCACAGATAGAACAATGAGACAGATATTTCACTGGATGTATAAATGTGAAGCATCTGGTTGGCGTTTCCGAGAGGAAGCCCACTGGCAGGCAGTGGGAGAAGATGGGACGAGATGTTTTTTGGCCGACATTCTGCATAATTTCTCACCGATTAAACATTTGATCTAAATATAGTTTTCTGTTCCCCAAACTAGAATCTGCTATGAACAGAGTGGACTTAGTTTTGTAGACTTTACCCTTTGCAAAAGTTTTTATAAATCGCACTGTTTAGAAGGAGTGCAAAGGCGAATTGAATTATTGCACATGGGCACTTCACAGAGTAGGAGTTCCCTAACGGAAATATGCAGATAGCTACTAGAGCGCGCCAATAGGATATCGCTAGCGTGCCCACCTCCTTGCTTGTTCTGCCCACTATGACTCATTTGTTCCCATTGGAAACGAAGAGCTGTGGTCTATCTTGGTTTAGTTATAAAAAATCTTTGGTGGCATCATCAAAGGCCAGAAAGTCGCCACCATGGTAGCAATAGTATATTGGTCAGTGACCTTTATGAATTTCAATGTGCCGTCACTCTGTTGGGCAACCTCACAGCCATGTTTCCACTGAAGAATCTGAGTGGAAAAACAAGTAGAATAGAGCCCCACAGTGGAGGTGTCATAATACCCATAAAACCTATCGGTCAAACAGGGTAATGGTTCCAATCGTTTTTTCACCATTCATTTTTACCATAGGGGATTTTAGACACAGTTAAAATAAGGTCTGTGTTTCGTGTAGGCTTACCCTGGCGTGACGTTTTGATAACCATGTAAATCTCTCTCGGACAAGGTGACTTTTATCAATATATTCGGCTCTATTTACTCTCAGATTAGAAAATGCTAATTAGCATCAAAGTAGACATCATGCAAGACTACATACAGTGGGGAAAAGTATTTAGTCAGCCACCAATTGTGCAAGTTCTCCCACTTAAAAAGATGAGAGAGGCCTGTAATTTTCATCATAGGTACACGTCAACTATGACAGACAAAATTAGGAAAGAAAATCCAGAAAATCACATTGTAGGATTTTTTATGAATTTATTTGCAAATTATGGTGGAAAATAAGTATTTGGTCAATAACAAAAGTTTCTCAATACTTTGTTATATACCCTTTGTTGGCAATGACACAGGTCAAACGTTTTCTGTAAGTCTTCACAAGGTTTTCACACACTGTTGCTGGTATTTTGGCCCATTCCTCCATGCAGATCTCCTCTAGAGCAGTGATGTTTTGGGGCTGTCGCTGGGCAACACAGACTTTCAACTCCCTCCAAAGATTTTCTATGGGGTTGAGATCTGGAGACTCCAGGACCTTGAAATGCTTCTTACGAAACCACTCCTTCGTTGCCCGGGCGGTGTGTTTGGGATCATTGTCATGCTGAAAGACCCAGCCACGTTTCATCTTCAATGCCCTTGCTGATGGAAGGAGGTTTTCACTCAAAATCTCACGATACATGGCCCCATTCATTCTTTCCTTTACACGGATCAGTCGTCCTGGTCCCTTTGCAGAAAAACAGCCCCAAAGTATGATGTTTTCACTCCCATGCTTCACAGTAGGTATGGTGTTCTTTGGATGCAACTCAGCATTCTTTGTCCTCCAAACACGACGAGTTGAGTTTTTACCAAAAAGTTATATTTTGGTTTCATCTGACCATATGACATTCTCCCAATCCTCTTCTGGATGCACTCTAGCAAACTTCAGACGGGCCTGGACATGTACTGGCTTAAGCAGGGGGACACGTCTAGCACTGCAGGATTTGAGTCCCTGGCGGCGTAGTGTGTTACTGATGGTAGGCTTTGTTACTTTGGTCCCAGCTCTCTGCAGGTCATTCACTAGGTCCCCCCGTGTGGTTCTGGGATTTTTGCTCACCGTTCTTGTGATCATTTTGACCCCACGGGGTGAGATCTTGCGTGGAGCCCCAGATCGAGGGAGATTATCAGTGGTCTTGCATGTCTTCCATTTCCTAATAATTGCTCCCACAGTTGATTTCTTCAAACCAAGCTGCTTACCTATTGCAGATTCAGTCTTCCCAGCCTGGTGCAGGTCTACAATTTTGTTTCTGGTGTCCTTTGACAGCTCTTTGGTCTTGGCTATAGTGGAGTTTGGAGTGTGACTGTTTGAGGTTGTGGACAGGTGTCTTTTATACTGATAACAAGTTCAAACAGGTGCCATTAATACAGGTAACGAGTGGAGGACAGAGGAGCCTCTTAAAGAAGAAGTTACAGGTCTGTGAGAGCCAGAAATCTTGCTTGTTTGTAGGTGACCAAATACTTATTTTCCACCATAATTTGCAAATAAATTCATAAAAAATCCTACAATGTGATTTTCTGGATTTTCTTTCCTAATTTTGTCTGTCATAGTTGACGTGTACCTATGATGAAAATTACAGGCCTCTCTCATCTTTTTAGGTGGGAGAACTTGCACAATTGGTGGCTGACTAAATACTTTTTTTCCCCACTGTATATCTGCAAGCTCCTGCACATCATCTTTGTCACCTTTGCTAACAGGTACATTAAAAAATTTAGCACATTTATTCATTACTACATTTAGTTAACTTTAGATAGTGAATCCAGAGATTCTTACTTTTGCCTTGATTTGGCAGTCTCGTCCAGGTCATCGTGGCATTTGTAGTTCTTTATGATAGTCACATTAGCAGCTAATTCGAATTTCATTTGTTGGGGGTAAATACTGGCAAATATATTGATAAATGTCACCTTGTCTGAGAGATTTACAGTTATCAAAACGTCACGCCAGGGTAAGCCTACACAAAACAGCCCTTATATTAAGTGTTTATAAAATCCACTATGTGTAAAATTAATGGTGGAAAAACTATTTGAACCATTTCCATTTGACCGCTAGGTTTTATGAATATTATGACTCATACTCTGGTACTCTACATGAGAGGCAATGACACACCTATGGTATGTTCAAGTCCTTATTTATTTTTTTGCGCATTGTACTTACAAGTTAATTATCTTGGAGTTTTAGTAAAATATCTACAGGATGTTGACGTTGACTTTGAACCACTGCTCCTTGCACTTTTGTGACTGACTGCTTTTTTCCCAGTAGTCTAATTGCAGCTTTTCCCTCATCCAGGCCTGTTTGGGAATCTTCTTCTTTGCCACACTGTCATAGTAATCAATATGTTTGTCATTCATCAGACCCATGTCAGTGAATTCATGGATACCAGGCAATTCTACTGGCTTTGACAAGGCAGTGTAGATGTAGCTCGGCGACCATGTCTCTAATGGTTACAAAGAGGAGCAAATGGGTTAGTCACAACTCCTGAGTAGAGATGTAAAAGTAGTGAGGTAGTGATGGGAATAAAAATTTAAAAAAGTTATGATAATCGATAATAGTAAGTACAGTAACATCATAGTCATTGTCATGGTATGAAATCTATACCTAATCAATCCATTATTTTATTGAAACTCATCACAAATTATGTATTTGTGATGAGGTGATGTCGAAGGAGTCAGGCGCAGGAGGGTAAATCACAGAATAACAGGCTTTATTCCGCAAATACAGAGTTATGCAGAAATGCGTCGAACACTCTAGTGCGCAAAACAGGCGCACTGGAAAATACAAGGCACACAGGGAAATATCCCGTCGATACAAAATACACGGAGCTCCACCAAGCTTAGCTATCCTCCACAATAAACAATCACACACAAAGACAAGGGGGCAGAGGGAACACTTATACAGGTACTGATGAGGGGATATGAACCAGGTGTGTGTAATAAACAAGACAAAACAAATGGAATGATGAGATGAGGAGCGGCAGTGGCTAGAAGGCCGGTGACGACAAACGCCGAAGCCTGCCCGAACAAGAAGAGGTGGCAGCTTCAGAGGAAGTCGGTGACATTATTAGACTAATTTGTTTTTCTGAAAGAGACTAAAGAATACTAAACGGAGACTACGAACTTTTATGTGCCAGTCATACTATATAGTCTTATCACCTGACAGTTCCAACCAATCAAATTGTACTATCATGTTGCCAGGTAAAGATTATTTTCTCAGCCGTGTAGTCAGTGGAACTTGCCAGCGGCAACAAGGAAACATCGCAATATAAGGGCCTACAAAACTAGCCAACCATTAAACAAAAAGTTGGAGTTGTCATCAATAATACGAACATAACATTACAATTAAATAATATGAACAAAACATTCTATTTCATTCAACCAACATAATAGGCTAGTAATTGAAAATGGCTTTTTATGTTTATTATTGATTTGAAAAAGAATGTAGGCTATATACAGTGGGGAGAACAAGTATTTGATACACTGCCGATTTTGCAGGTTTTCCTACTTACAAAGCATGTAGAGGTCTGTAATTTTTATCATAGGTACACTTCAACTGTGAGAGACGGAATCTAAAACAAAAATCCAGAAAAACACATTGTATGATTTTTAAGTAATTAATTTGCATTTTATTGCATGACATAAGTATTTGATCACCTACCAACCAGTAAGAATTCCGGCTCTCACAGACCTGTTAGTTTTTCTTTAAGAAGCCCTCCTGTTCTCCACTCATTACCTGTATTAACTGCACCTGTTTGAACTCGTTACCTGTATAAAAGACACCTGTCCACACACTCAATCAAACAGACTCCAACCTCTCCACAATGGCCAAGACCAGAGAGCTGTGTAAGGACATCAGGGATAAGATTGTAGACCTGCCCAAGGCTGGGATGGGCTACAGGACAATAGGCAAGCAGCTTGGTGAGAAGGCAACAACTGTTGGTGCAATTATTAGAAAATGGAAGAAGTTCAAGATGACGGTCAATCACCCTCAGTCTGGGGCTCCATGCAAGATCTCACCTCGTGGGGCATCAATGATCATGAGGAAGGTGAGGGATCAGCCCAGAATTACACGGCAGGACCTGGTCAATGACCTGAAGAGAGCTGGGACCACAGTCTCAAAGAAAACCATTAGTAACACACTACGCCGTCATGGATTAAAATTCTGCAGCGCACGCAAGGTCCCCCTGCTCAAGCCAGCGCATGTCCAGGCCGGTCTGAAGTTTGCCAATGACCATCTGGATGATCCAGAGGAGGAATGGGAGAAGGTCATGTGGTCTGATGAGACTAAAATATAGCTTTTTGGTCTAAACTCCACTCGCCGTGTTTGGAGGAAGAAGGATGAGTACTACCCCAAGAACACCATCCCAACCGTGAAGCATGGAGGTGGAAACATCATTCTTTGGGGATGCTTTTCTGCAAAGGGGACAGGACGACTGCAACGTATTGAGGGGAGGATGGATGGGGCCATGTATCGCGAGATCTTGGCCAACAACCTCCTTCCCTCAGTAAGAGCATTGAAGATGGGTCGTGGCTGGGTCTTCCAGCATGACAACGACCCGAAACACACAGCCAGGGCAACTAAGGAGTGGCTCTGTAAGAAGCATCTCAAGGTCCTGGAGTGGCCTAGCCAGTCTCCAGACCTGAACCCAATAGAAAATCTTTGGAGGGAGCTGAAAGTCCTTATTGCCCAGCGACAGCCCCGAAACCTGAATGATCTGGAGAAGGTATGTATGGAGGAGTGGGCCAAAATCCCTGCTGCAGTGTGTGAAAACCTGGTCAAGACCTACAGGAAACGTATGATCTCTGTAATTGCAAACAAAGGTTTCTGTACCAAATATTAAGTTATGCTTTTCTGATGTATCAAATACTTATGTCATGCAATAAAAAATGCAAATTAATTACTTAAAAATCATACAATGTGATTTTCTGGATTTTTGTTTTAGATTCCGTCTCTCACAGTTGAAGTGTACCTATGATAAAAATTACAGACCTCTACATGCTTTGTAAGTAGGAAAACCTGCAAAATCGGCAGTGTATCAAATACTTGTTCTCCCCACTGTATATTGCTCTGCCAAGAGCTTTTATTTTCACTTATGATACATTTTCTAGAAGTAAAATCATTCTTACCGCTGTTCACCGTTGAATGTGTCCCAAACAAGAGCAAAACTACGACAAAACATGTTTTGAACCCTCACATGTATTGGATAACCCGAAAATATACTAAATTCTATGTCTAATTCAGGTCCGCCCCAAAATGCTACGACTCTGCGCTCTTAGCTTTCTCTACCAAGTATAGTCCTGTATTGATCCTGATCATTAAGTTGAACAGGTGTTGTAAAAGTCCAAAGTCTCTTCTCTGATGTTACTGTACTTCATAAGCAATAGTCATACATTGGATTTGCACACCATTCATAACCAGAACTCTGTGCAAATGTGCTGTTGCTTACAATTCTGTTATCATTAGCCAATACTATCCTCCTGAAGATAAATTCTGTTTTGAATTATAGAACGTGCAAAAAAGGGGCTTTCTTATTAATTGTTATTTTTTTCAGAAAAACAAATAAATCATACAGGATGTGTCAAAAGCAGTACAGATTATACACATTGTGTGTGTACATCAGTGGGCATGAATGCAATATGTCACGTAACATACTGGTTTAGTGAATAGTAACAGAGCAATGCCAAGCAAAATTAATGTAGTCATTTGGCGAATGCATTTAGTCCACAGGTAGTGTGCATAACACTAGAGGCCCTATTCATTAAAAACCCCTGACTAGGTTTCTGGCATAAGATACAACATATTTTTGTCTTGAGCTTCAAGACTGCATGTTGGAATTATTTGTGTCCTCCATAAATCAATGTTTACACTGTGATATTAAAAGAAACTCCACGGCATAATAATTCAAGAGTGTAGCTTTGTCTTAGCCTGGAAACCCAGTGAACGGTTTTGAAATGGGCCCTAGGTTGAAATAAACAATCAAGTATTCTACAATATTAAACAACAAAATAATTTTTACATATATTTGCAGGAACTTAAAACAAGACATACAATACAGTAAAAACACTCATGAAACACACGTGTTGTAGTGAAGATGTGCTTTTTTGTTACTGTAAATGTTACTTAAAATGTTTGTCTATACCTCTTTTGAAATGTTACTTAAAATGTTTGTCTATACCTCTTTTGAAATGTTACTTAAAATGTTTGTCTATACCTCTTTTGAAATGTTACTTAAAATGTTTGTCTATACCTCTTTTGAAATGTTACTTAAAAATAAGAGTATGTCATTGATTGGCCAGAGGTATAAAAACATATCAGCATATACCTCTAGGCATATATAACCCTGGATAATTATACAAATACCTTAAAAGGTGCCTCTCCCTTTAGTAACATCCATTGTAACAGTAAAACAATGAAATACACAACAGAATACATTCATTCAGGAGAATGAGATACATCAACCCCAATGGTACCTAATCCCCCACTAATGAGACTATTTGGAAGTACAGAAACCTACTCAAGAACAGCTAAAACTATTAAATGCAGCATATTTTAGCACATTGCAATAAAGTAACTATCATTTCCATCACTAGATTATAATAATGTATTAGTGTAACAGAATAACAAGCAATAGCCATACTTAGGGGTTGTGGCGGTCATGACATTTTGTCAGCCGGTGATCGTCAAGCAAATAACTGCCGGTCTCACGGTTATTGACCGTTAATTAACATAAACACATTTAGCATCTCCTGCTTAGAATTCCGTGGCATTACTTTATAGTATGAAGAATACAATTGAACATAGCTGAATAAAATATAAAGTGTGCACATCCGGCTATTCTGAGTTGAGCTGTTAACAAAGAAACAGGTACTCCTATATGCTTAATTTAGTGTTATTTATGTAACTTTAGTTGTGATACAAATGTTGGGCTATATGTTTTGATTTTTTATACATTCTTAGGCTGCATGATGCGACTCTAAAATGATTGGAAAAAAGTTTAATGAAAGGCATGAGCGCTGCTTTGTTTTTTTGCACAGGCTGTACACACTTCATCAGTCTCTCATTCACTATTTGACAAGCACTTGATAATACCTTGAATTTCCCGGCTGCATCCCTTTGTGGCCGTAACGGCCCCTAAAAGAATCCATGCCTTTTGCGGCCAGTGGCCAGTGTGCCCTTGGGCTGAATATAATAATTATAATTCCCTTCTCCCGGTTGCTTGCTGAAGCACCTCTCACTCACATGGCTCTCTGTCACGTGATCGGGTCTTTCTCACAGGCTATAAGTGAAGACATACACATTGTGGACGCAACTGTGCGCATCCTTATCCAATGAAGAGACTGGACTTTTTGTCAGCCAACAAAATGAGTAGGCTTAATGAACAGCAAAAGCACTAGCCTATGTCAATCTACTATCCCCCATTGTACAAAGGTTGACCTATTATATTCTGTGCAATTAATAAATATTCCAAACATAGTCAGGGACAGTTGTGAGATATGATAGATCCCAAATTAATACAACCACTAGCATCAAAAAACCAGTTTTAAGCAATGAGCCTGACGCAACAGATGAGAATGTTTAAAATGTTGATGAACTATTAGGGTATATCGTTTGCCTTAAGCTGGGCATCATTCACAAGTGATAATATATCATTCACAAGTGATAGGCTAATATTGTCACCCATCAGACTTTTCTTGATTTAATCTTTACATATACTAAATAACGTGTGAAATTTGTTTTGATTTATAATGGACCATTATCCTGCACCTGTCTCTAAACAGGGGCAGCAGGAAAAGATACATGTAATCTATGCACTTAAATAGTGAATGGAGGACGCTTTTCCAGTGTTTCATTTCCATGCAAGCCAGGTAGGCTATACTCCTGTTTTAAAGAGAAGTAACGTGCTTAATATTAGGAAAGTTGAGAGATAAATATAGTAGGCCTAGCCTATAGAAAGCTGATGGGATCCCCCTCTTTTTAATAGAGGCCATCACTCTATTGTCTCACGCAATTGCATAGCCTATAGAGATGTTGAGCAACATGAGCTCATGGGCTCTCATAAGTGATTAGATTTTCGATTACATTTGCGTTGATGTCAGAGTGATTAGAGGGACAACAGAGTGCTGAGTACCAGGCAGTAAGTAAGTTTGGTAGGCTACTAATGACCATCAGCAGCTTGGAGAAGCCTAATTACCGTGACTAAACGGTCACGTGGAATTTGACTGCTGTCATGACTCGTGGCCAAACCGAAACAGCCCTAGCCATACTATAAAATTATTAAATGAATTGACTTTCCTTCATGGTCCGCTCAGGAAGTTTGGCCACCAACGGTCATCTAGACACCTGCACATAAATAGACAACATGGAAAAGATGTGGATTATTAGATCGAACACATACCTTACAGTGCAATGTTGTAAAATATTACCCATTACAATAACTGACATGTCTCAGCTTTAATTACAAACAGATGGTGTCAGATACCGCCTATGGTTTTGCCTCACATTAACCAACCAGTTAGGATCTTTAACTTTATCTTTTGATGATAAAACAAAGTGTTGTCCGTGACATTTTGAAAGTGATGTTCCTTATGTTCTAAACTGTCGATTTATCGATAAATGCAAACTTTGTAGAACCAACAAAGGAAATGTATTTATTACATTAAATTAACCAATTCTATATGGCAAAACCAAAGCAGCATTAAATTCACACTTATTTTATGCTTTCTCCATAATTACTCGTTAGGAAATTATTTTGGTAATAAACAAGCAACATTTTAATATTAGAGGAACCAGAAGAACCCTATAATACTTGGGTTGGATATCACTGAATTATTAAACCATCCAAATTGCAAGTTGGAGAAGAGATGACAGAAGGGTTGATATCCATCTAGACTTACTTCCATTAGGCAGCATTGACTTCTGAACATCCTCCCCACTGCCTCTGTCTGAGGACCCTTCATTCTGGCTGCCTTTACCTGAAATAGTGGCAGAGCAAAACTGTCTTTCTACAGTCTCAAAATAATTAGTCAACAAATACAATCTAAGTCTTTGATTGATATTAAGTATGGACACACGACTAAGTCACTTTGGATAAAAGTGTCTGCTTAATGTATTTTATTTTATATTTATTATGGGTCAAGGGAATATTAGATTTCCAGAGTCTGATGAGGTTCTGCTTTCAACATCTTTTGCTAATAAAAATGAGAAAACAGTCACTCATTTCATTCCAGATATTACTAAAATATCTGTTTCAGTAAAGTAAAGTTTCAGTACAAGAAGATCATGTAGTTGAATGAATGACTAAAGTGTTTCAGACAAGTTCAGAATAAATGAGTACTTATCAAAACCCAAAGGGAAATCTAAACAGTATTGATTGTTACATAGAACACCTTTTAAGTTCGATGGCCAGATTGTTGTTCTGATATAAAAGCATCATGTTGTCTTTATAACTAATGTCAAAAGTATGTTATATGTAACATTCAACCATTATGCTGATAAATGACATGTACAGTCCATTCGGAAAGTATTCAGACCCCTTCCTTTTTTCCACATTTTGTTCCGTTACAGACTTATAAAATTGATTAAATTATATTTTTTTCTCATCAATCTACACACAATACCCCATAATGAAAAAGCCAAAACAGGTTTTTAGAAAATTTTGCAAAAAATTTAAAAAATATTTGAAATAGAGCTCAGGTGCATCCTGTTTCTATTAATCATCCTTGAGATGTTTCTACAACTTGATTGGAGTCCACCTGTGGTAAATTCAATTGATTGGACATGATTTGGAAAGGCACACACCTGTCTATATAAGGTCCCACTGGTGACAGTGCATGTCAGAGCAAAAACCAAGCCATGACGTCGAAGGACTTGTCCTGGGGAAGGGTACCAAAAAATGTCTGCAGCATTGAAGGTCCCCAAGAACACAGTGGCCTCCATCATTCTTAAATGGAAGAAGTTTGGAACCAACATGACTCTACCTAGAGCTGGCCGCTTGGCCAAACTGAGCAATCAGGGGAGAAGGGCCTTGGTTAAGGAGGTGACCAAGAACCTGATGGTCACTATGACAGAGCTCCAGAGTTCCTCTGTGGAGATGGGAGAACCTTCCAGAAGGACAATCATCTCCGCAGCACTCCACCAAATCAGGCCTTTATGGTAGAGTAGCCACTCCTCAGTAAAAGCCACTCCTTAGTAAATCCACTTCTCAGTAAAAGGTACATGACAGCCCGCTTGGAGTTTGCCAAAAGGCACTTAAAGGACTCTCAGACCATGAGAAACAAGATACTCTGGTCTGATGAAACCAAGATTGAACTATTTGGCCTGAATGCCAAGCCTCACTTCTGGAGGAAATCTGGCACCATCCCTACGGTGAAGCATGGTGGTGGCAGCGTCATGCTGTGGGGATGTTTTTAAGCGACTGGGAGACTAGTCAGGATTGATGGAAAGATGAACGGAGCAATGCACAGAGAGATCCTTGATGAAAACCTGCTCCAGAGCACTCAGGACCTCAGGCTGAGGTAAACGTTCACCTTCCAACAGGACAACAACCCTAAGCACACAGCCAAGACAACGCAGGACTGGCTTCGGGACAAGTCTCTTAATGTCCTTGAGTGGCCCAGCCAGAGTCCGGACTTGAACCTGATCGAACATCTCTGGAGAAGCCTGAAAATAACTGTGCAGCGACGCTCCCTATCCAACCTGACAAGTGCATGAGAGGATCTGCAGAGAAGAACGGGAGAAACTCCCCAAATACAGGTGTGCCAAGCTTATAGCGTCATACCCAAGAAGAATCGAGGCTGTAATTGCTGCCAAAGGTGATTCAACAAAGTACTGAGTCAAGTGTCTGAATACTTATGTAAATGTCATATTTCAGTTTTTAATTTGTCATAAATTTGCAGAAATGTCTAAAAACCAGTTTTTGCTATGTCATTATGGTGTATTGTGTGTTGATTGAAGAGGAGAAAAAAATAGATGTAATCCATTTTAGAATAAGGCTGTAACGTAACAAAATGTTGAAAAGGTCAAGGGGTCTGAATACTTTCCGAATGCACTGTATATAGACCGAGGGAGAGGCTGTGATACTAACCTGTAGTTCTCAAGCAAGGAATCACTATGATGGATAAAGAGAAAAATAAATATAAATGTTATAATTCATATGCATTTTGGCCGTAGTGCCCCCCTTTCATAGTAGTACCTTAGATGAAACTTTTCTTAACATTTAACAACAACAAAAACATTGAATGATAAAAATCAAGACCTACCAATTGTCCCTCTTCTGTGCAGAACAAACACGCCAACCAAGATCAGAACTACAATAATGGGGATGACTGCCGCAATGACTCCACCAACAACACTTCCACAGTCACAACATTTTCCATCTGCAAAACAAAATGCATAGTATTTATAAAAAGCAACAATATGTAACAAGAAGCTGATTTCAGTTTTGTTCCTGCTTCACTTGCAAAGCTGTTGTTAGTATGCTGTTTAGTAAGCTGTTGTTAGTATGCAATTTATGATTGTTTCCCGTGTCAATAACATTAAACCAAATGAACCATACTTTACCCCATTTTTCCACAATTGGCTCCTTCAAAGTGTCATGGTTGACATAGCATTCATAAGTTTCCTTATCTGCCTCTGGGACATGCACACTCATCCTGATCTGGTAGGTGTCATCATCATTGGGTAGGACTCCTGTAGACAGCACTCCATCATGTTTGGTCAATTGGACCCCATTCTTCTTAATATGCATAACCACATCTTTGGGATAGAACCCTGTGGCCATGCAGGTCAGTCGGACATGTCCTGCAATTTGGGCCTTTTTAGCAAATGCATATACCTTTGGAGGGGCTAAAGAGGGAATAAATGGAGAACATTAATATTATTTCTGATCTCACATTTACAAATGGTCGTTTTTTGTTAACCATTTGTTAGGCTATACTATTTAAGGTTCATAAGTACTCACAATCAGCACTACTAAATTCTTTCTCCTCATATTCCATGAATTTAGACAGCCAGTCCACACACTCCTTCTCCAGGTAGCCCTTGGTGTACTGGTTGAGGATCTGCACCCCGTCCCACTTCCTCTTAGTCGGCAGAGCTTGATCAACTGGGGCCACCCACTGCATAGTGGCATCATCGAAGGCCAGGAAGTCGTCACCATCGTAGCTGTATTGGTCAATGCCCTTTATGAATGTCAATGTGCCGTCTGGCTGTTGGTCAATCTCACAGCCATGCTTCCACTGAAGGATATGGACATCTGAAACAAAAAATAAACAATGAAAAAGAAGGTGAATGATGCCTCTATGGCAATATACATAGATAACTAATGACCCACAATTTTAAAAGATTAACGGTGAGCGTAGGACACATTTCAGGTGTGGTCCCTCACCAGTGTTGTTGTGCTTCATGCGGTCCATCAGGATGTTGACGTTAACTTTGAACCACTGCTCCTTGCTCTTGCGTGACTGAGTGCCTTTTTCCCAGTAGTCTGCAGGCAGCTTCTCCCTCATCCAGTCCTGTTTGGGAATCTTCTTCTTTGCCACACTGTCATAGTAGTCGATCTGTTTGTTATTCATCAGGCCCATGGCAGTGAACTCATGGATACCAGGCAATTCTACTGGCTTTGACAGGGCAGTGTAGATGTAATTCAGGGAGTAGATGGCTGTAGGGGAAAACATTTAAACATTGAGATCATTTGTCTGAATTTAACTTCTCTCCATGTTACTCAGACAACGCTGTAAAACATTAACAGGAAATTACTGTATGTCAAATATTTATCTCTATCACACTGTAGGTCTGTAACGGCCAACAAAATAATGTATTCAATTAATAGTGTCAAAGAGACCTTGCATGATGTTGTCTAAATGTTAGGTAACATATAAATAACAAATAAGCCCACACTAGTGCATTAGTGAAAAGTGGGACACATGAGGCCCTTTATCTACTTCCCAAGAGTCAGATGAACTCAAGGATACCATTTTTATTCCTCTGTGTCCAGTATGAAGTTAGCGGTAGTTTCACAAGCCAATGCTAACTAGCGTTACTGCTATTGCTAACTAGCGTTAGCGCAATGACTAAAAGTCTATGGGTACAGCTAGTTAGCATTGGCTCTCGAAAGTACCTGTAACTTACTTCCTACTGGGCGCAGATACCTAAAAATGGTACCCACGAGTTCACCTGATGCTGGGAAAGTAGATAAAGGGATTAATTGACAAAATCCTGAACTATCCCTTTAACCCAACACCTAGTGACAGCTTCGGACCTCTTGGTATAATGGTTAAGGTGTTGGCTTGACAGTCACTGGAACTGGGTTTGAGTCCCGGTCCAGACTACCCCATGAATTTGCTACACTGGTGTCAGAAGTGGGATGGTGCCCGTGAGCCCATCGGAGAGGGACTTGGTAAAGAGAAGCGTGGGGACACGATCTCCTGAAGGAAGGTGGTAATGTATTGACCTTAACCCAACACCTACCGACCTTATCAAGAAGTTCGGACCTCTTGGTGTAACGATTAAGGTGTTGGCTTGATAGTCGCTTGATCCAGGTTTGAGTACCAGTTGGGGCTATCCCCCGGATTCGCTACCATAAAGAATATAAATCATATGTCTTTCCTTTGTTCATATATTGTTGTATTGTTTGTATATCGTATTTTAAATTTGTGTGACTGTCCTTGTCTATCAGTGAGTGTATAAGTGTTTTGTTACTTGTTATGACTTGTGTTTTGTTTGTGGGCCCCAGGAAGAGTAGCTGCTGCTAAACAAATAAACAAACCTGTGTAAAATTACAGAAGTCATTATCAGTATATAGGCTACTGTAAAATTGCAAACACATTACAAACATATTAAATCTTCTTTGCACATGTTTTACTTTGTGATAATAAAAAATAAGTAGATGACGCTATGCCTGGTTATTCCAAGCAAAGTAAAAATATGTGTGTTCTTGTTCTTGTGCTGGCCTGTAAGTGCGCAATAGCTTTCCAGTAATCGATACAATGGATGGAGAAACGCTTAAAAAGGTCGACTACAAATGCTATAATGCAATTAAAACATGTAGACTATTATGCTAATAGTCCGCAGCAGTATATATGGTAAGCGATTTTAAAAGTATTATTTTTTATTATTATTTTGCCACGCCTGGCTGTAAACTCTCACTTTGATATTCGAGTACACAACTTACCGCTTCGGCTCTGGCAAATACATTCCAGTGAAAAATATAAAACAAAAACCATCAAATTAGGTCTATACATCTTACTGATTAAACTACAGCCGTTTTCTTAAACTATATTCCGTATTTTTAAAAGTATATGTCGATGGAAATCCCCTTCACAAATGTATGTTGCATATGGTGTATTTCCTTGCCCTTTGAAAGTGTTTTTATCCAATGATTTTCGAGGGCTGAAATAAACCTAGCTGTTGTCAGGTAAAATAGAGTGTGGGATATTTCCGTGGCTCAAGCCTACGGCGTCATACTAAAGACAAATATAGCCGAGGCTATGAAAATATAACATATTTTTTACTTGAAAGCAAATATTTTATACAATCTCTAAAATAAGTCAATAACAAAAATTTTTATTCTTACAACTCTATCATAGGTCTACACAATTGTAACCCCCAACTTAAACTTTTGAAACTGTTGTCACTGACAATTAATGTGTAGTGATTTTTATTTGTTTATTTGCTTTACTTTAATGTTTCTTAAGAGAAAATATACTTGTAGTGATGTCCTATGTTCATTTGTTATTGTATTGTAATATAAAATTGTATTTAAAATAAAAAATTAAAAGGCTGATTTTTCACTGTAGGTAGGAATGGATAACTTAAATCATGGACAACATGAAATAAACATTCACATACCCTCAATAATTTTATTATGTAGCAATTATGATACTTTGTATTTTACATTGACAGACATTTTCTGACCACTTGGTAAACGTTCTGTTTATCGGTTTGTAAGTCTCTTTTTCTCTAATGATACATATCTCATCATAATGTCATGACTGATTGCTCTGACATAGGTGTCAATCAGTACATCTCTACTGTCAACTCATCCCTTCCTTCATCATCAATTCATCCTCCAGCCCTCTACCTTACCCTTTTCCAAGTTCCCCACAGTAGTCCGAGTGCCTCCTCTTTTTCCCCGACCCCTCCCTCCTTTTTCACTTCCTTCCAAAGCGGAACCCGAAGCCTCCCTTCTCTCTGTTGAAAGCCTGAAGCCCGCCGGCGATGGACGAGAGGGCCTCGTTCCTCTTTCCTCCCCCCTCTACTTCCTCTTCTCCCCCCTCTGGGTAGTGCAGAGTGTCCATAGGGTGGCCGGGGAAGGGACCCAGCGGCCTCCTCTCCAGATCCCCCCTCTGGCCCCTCATCATGCCCTTCTGTCCCCAGCTGTTCTCTGCCACCAGCTCCCTGAGCATGCCCAGAAGTGGGTCCTCTCGTCCCAGCTCCAGCAGCGGCCCCCAGGGGCGGAGGCCTGCCGCAGCTACAGCCCCGTGGATATCGAGGGAGGCCTGGAGCTGGAGTAAGTCAGCCTCCCACTCAGGGTTCTCCAATGTGGGCAGGATGGCAAGGGGTAAGTGGGGGTGCCCGTGTGCCCCCGGGATGGGAACCAGCAGAGCCAGTGAGAAAAGAGTGAGCATCGGCTGAGAGGCACAGAGATGGAACGAAGATAATCTCATCTATAGGTTGTTGAAAAGATAAAGTAGTTGTGAAATAAATCACAAAATGTAAAAAGAGACTGTCAACGCATCATAAATTGCAAACCTATCCAGATGTTTGCAAGCCCTGATTCTTAGGGCCCTATGACGTAAATGTAAATGTATTCAAGAATAAGAAAAAAATGTACTGTGTGGGGCAACAAACAAGATCACCTTCATAACACCGCATTCCTCCTTCCCACACAAAAATATGATTTTACCCTGAAATAGCACTAAGTGTGTTAGATAAGATAGGACATGATGTCTAGCAGCACACAAAATGCATACCTAACATGAAGATCTCTACAGGTATTTACTTAGAACCATTTACTATGTAAGCACTGAATCATATGAAGCTGCTGTACACAGAAATAATATCAACATCCACAACTAATTCCAACCACATAAGCATTGATATATCCATTGGCTTACCTTGTAGAGTTTTCAGTGTTTCTGTCTTGACATCCCCCTGACCCTTTAAATACCCCATAAATGAAAAGAGTTTATCAGCTGACAGCATCGTGTCCTCTGTCACTGATTGGTTAATCGGGCACTTGACGCACAAGTGTAACGCAACTCTGACATCTACATTCTTCTGGCTTGGAAACAGGTCTTACTTAATTGATGGACTCTAAAGTGCCCAATTATTGTGCTTGATTGTGAAGTGATTAATTAGGATTTGAAGAAACCTTGTCAAGGTCTCAGTCATTAAGGTCATCTCACGGGGAGGACACAGACACACCTGAAAGAATTCCATTGTCCAGTTCCTGACAAAATCCCAATCCTTATAATTATCATTCATAAATACTCTGGATCTGTCACTTTTCTTAATTGAACGATTCAAGTAAAAACATCATACAACCAGACTTCTATAATGATCATACAACATCAACTTTGGCTGAAATTCCAACACGAAAGATAACCTCTTTTGCTTTCTGTTTGCCATTTTATTATTTTTGGATGTATTTTTGGATGTATTATCGGTATATTGGTATCCAAGTTCATGTCATTTTCTGGTGTTGTTGGGTGTCTACAAAATATCCTGTCTTTTGGGCAGTGGGTAATTGGTATTATGCAATCATAAGTTGTTTATTGAGGTCACACCCACACTATAGATTAAATTAATTGCTAAACAGAGCTGTTATCCTCACAGAGGACAGTCCTGCGTGCTTAGTAAATTCTCATTTTAAAGAGATTATCCTGTACTTTTGTATACTTTTTAGCCAGTAGTTCTGAAAGTAATGCTCACGAGCCAAAAGTGGTCCCTGAAAATTGCTTGCTATGTCACATATGTGCAGATATGTGCTCCCTCTCTCGCTCTGCTGTGTGTGCATCTTGCTAGCTGTTACTCAAATGGCGAGGGGCTGAAGCTCATTGGCTGAAACTCAAATTGCTAGGGGGCTGGCCCATGTGCTGCACAGCTTCCAGAAAACAGTTGCTTTCAAACTAGAGATATTATGGCCAATTGAGGAAAGACAATAATTCTGCTCATAGATTATGCATGTATGAACTACACATTGAAACATCCAGCCCAAAGCAGGAGATTTAAAAAATACTTACTAATTGCCAAAGTTCCAGAGCATGTCTAAGAGGATTGTAGCCTGAACCTAACTAAACCTGGTCTGTGAAAAGCATTCTAGTAAGGTACGACTTCTCCGATTTGACTGATAGGTGTTTACTTCAGCTATCTGTTGAAAAATGCTTTTAGACAACGAGTAAATAAAAGACTACGTACACTTCCATTAGTTAATACAGCCCATTTATTAAAGACCTCATATTGTCATATTTGGGGTGGGATTGGGTTACTTGATCTTGTGCACACACACTTCCTGGCATTCAATGTGTACAATATCATCACAAACATCTATACATCTTGTTATTGATTACTGCATTGTTGGGTTTAGAGCTTGCAAGAAAGGCATGTCACTGTACTTGTGCACATGACATTAAAACTTCAACTAAACTTCATAACAACTATGACAAACCGTGGAACAAAACAAGTAGTCGTGAGGAATAAACATAAAATGCTTAAATTTCCCATAGCATTATTATATACTGAACAAAAATATAAACGCAGCATGAAACAACTTCTAAGATTTTACAGAGTTACAGTTCATAAGGAAATCAGTCAATTGAAATAAATCAATTAGGCCCTAATCTATGGATTTCACATGACTGGGCAGGGGTGCAGCCATGGGTGTACCTTGGAGGGCATAGGCCCACCCACTTGGCAGCCAGGCCCACCAACTTGGGAGCCAGGCCCAATCAATCAGAATTAGATTTTCCCCCACAAAAGGGCCTTATTACAGACAGAAAAACCCCTCCACCCACCCTCAGACGATCCCGCAGGTGAAGAAGCCGGATGTGGAGGTCCTAGGCTGGCGTGGTTACACGTGGTCTGTGGTTGTGAGGCCGGTTGGACCTACTGCCAAGCTTATGGTAGAGAAATGAACATTAAATTATCTGGCAACAGATTTGGTGGACATTCCTGCAGTCAGCATGCCAATTGCACGCTCCCTCAAAACATTAGGTGCCTGTGGCATTGTGTTGTATGACAAAACTGCACATTTTAAAGTGCCCTTTTATTGTCCCCAGCACAAGGTGCACCTGTGTAATGAGCATGCTGTTTAATCAACTTCTTGATATGCCACACCTGTCAGGTGGATCAATTATCTTGGCAAAGGAGAAATGCTCACCAACAGGGATGTAAACAAATGTGTGCACGTCATTTGAGAGAAATACATTTTTTGTTCATATGGAACATTTTATTTTAGCTCATGAAACATGGGACCAACACTTTATATGTTGTGTTTATATTCTTGTTCAGTGTAACTAAAAAGTCCATCAGTTTACAGGTCACAGAGTTTTACCGTCAACATGCCTAACAATAATATGGTTGAAGTACCTTGTCAGAATTCCCTTCTCTCCCTAATCCAGACTCTCAAAAGTCATAGGTAATCAAAGGGGAGAGCCTTGGTGCACCCTGGGAATTGTAGTCCAGGAAGACAGTCTTTAAAGCCTGTTGATTGGTTGGTGGGGCTTTGGGCTGGGTCACTGAGAGGGGCGATGAGCAGAGAGAGCTCCAGTTGGTTGATGGTGCTGGTCTGGAAGGACTGGGAATGGTGGGAGGAGGCCACTGGGGACGGGGAGGGCGTTGCCATGGCATCAAACCTCTGGGGGGCGGGTGAGTTGCTCTGCGACTCGTCAGCTGAGAGGGAGCGCCTGAGCTTGGCCCTTGCGTTCTGGAACCACACCTGAGTATGTGTTTGTGAGAGATAATGAGAAACAACTAATGTTTTAAGCATGAGCATGACCGTTTTTATGAATAATCCTACACGGATTTGTATTATTTTTCTGGATCACTATTCCAGTCAAAAAAAAAATCACCGTTCAAATCCTATGTTCTATGTCTCAAACCTGAAGCACTCTCTTGGGCAGACCGGTCCTCTGAGACAGACAGCTCCAATCCTTGCCATCAGGGTTGTGCTTCAGGGCGAAATAGGACTCCATGGCTCTCAACTGCTCGCTACGGAAACATGTTCTGATTCGCTTGGTTCGCCTGCGGCCCCGGCCACCTGGAACGCCATCCTCAAGTCGTGGCTCAGGGCTGCTGACAGATTCCTCCCCTTCTCCTGTATCAAGGAAGGCTGATGTAGCAGACTGTCAATATACATACAGTAGTCGATTTGTAAACATGGATATCATCTATGAATAACTCACCTTCTCTCTGCTTGAGGTGGAGCTTGTGAGAGGGTGGAGCACTACAGTCGTCATGGTTATGTGATTGACAGTACAGGCTCTGTCCCTGTTGGTAGTATAGGTTTCCAGGCATCAAGGTGACATCACACTCCTATGAAATATAGAATTAGCTCCATTGATATAATTGCAACTGAGCTTGGAGAGAGTGACTTCAACAGCCTATGTTCCTATTAAAGTATACTTTGTTTATTCAAGCTTACGTGTCTTGGCCTTTGTCAGAGCGTTTAAAAGTTTAAAAAAATAATCACATCACCATTACCACAGCTTTGATTAATAAACAAGAATCCTTGCCACTGCCTTATGGTAGGGGTAATTGTTCCACCTTATACTCTGAAAGTTTAAGAAACCCTGCCCTAGCCTATAGGTGGGGACCCAAAGTGGGCCCTAGGCTTGTGAGAGGTGGATCGCAAGTTATGAGAACACATCAATAATCTCACAGTATTTCTTCTTAATTTGGGTCATTGGAGGACAATTTGGGTCACGGGTGGAAGGTAAATTCTAATTTGGGTCTCGAGTTTAAAAAATGGAGTTGCCATATTGCTTACACTCAGCTCTAAAGAAGTGCCTAGGAGGTAGTCCCCTGTAGCTCAGTTGGTAGAGCATGGCGCTTGCAACGCCAGGGTTGTAGGTTCGTTTCCCACGGGGGGCCAGTATGAAAATGTATGCACTCACTAACTGTAAGTCGCTCTGGATAAGAACGTCTGCTAAATGACTAAAATGTAAAATGAGGTAGGGTAGGGGTTAGTGGTCAAAGTAGAATTGGGCAGATACTGTACACTCAGTGGCCAGTTTATTAGGTACACCCATCTATATAGCCACGTTATCATTGTGTATTTATTCCTTGTGTTAGTACGTTTTTCTATTATTATTTGTATTGTATTCTGCATTGTTGGGAAGGCCCATAAGAAAGCATTTCATTGTTAGTTTACACCTGTTGTTCACAAAGCATGTGACAATTCAAATTTGATTTGATTTAGTACCGGGTCAAACCCCCCCTCCAGAAAAGCCTGAATTCTTCGGGGCATGGATTTTACAAGGTGTGGCGTTCAAACGTTGCTCAATTGGTATCAATGGACCTAACGTGTGCCAAGAAAACATTCCCCACACCATTACACCACCGCCACTAGCCTGTATCATTGACACCAGGCAGGATGGGGCCATGTGGTCCTCTGTAGCTCAGCTGGTAGAGCACGGCGCTTGTAACGCCAAGGTAGTGGGTTCAATCCCCGGGACCACCCATACACAAAAATGTATGCACGCATGACTGTAAGTCGCTTTGGATAAAAGCGTCTGCTAAATGGCATATTATTATTATTATAATGGACTCATGCCGTTTTCGCCAAATCCCGACTCTGCCACAACAGAAACTTGGATTTGTCGGACCAGGCAATGTTTTTCCACTCCTCAATTGTTGGTGATCGCGTGCCCACCACTGTTGTACTGCACTGTTATTTGCCTGTTTGTCGCCCACTGTTTTCGCTCACAGGACTGCCACAGACTGGATGTTTCTTGTTTGTCGCACCATTCTCGATAAACCCTAGACACTGGCGTGCGTGAAAAGCCCAGGAGGCCGGCCGTGTCTGAGATACTGGGACCGACGATCATACCACGCTCAAAGTCACTTAGTTCACTCGTTTTGCCCAAGTTCAATCAAACAGTAACTGAATGCCTCGATGCCTGTCTGCATGCTTTATATAGCAAGCCACAGCCACTGCACAGCCACTCCATTTTCAGAAACAGGATTGTGTACCTAATAAACTGTGTATGTGCTAATTATAGATCCAAAATAGCTAACCTGGCAGGAAAAGCATTCGGGGTGAAAGGTCAGATCACCAGACCTCATGACTATTGCTGATGACGGCATTGGCTGGGAGCAGCGGGAACATCGTCCCACACTGAATAACCTGGCCAGGTAGAGAAATAAGATTTCTGTTAGCACTCATTATTCTTGAACAATAAGAGGCCTTAACATGCTCCACTTAAGGAAATCACCTTTGACGGAAGAGAAAAGTGTACATATAGAAGATTGAAAGTAACCTACAGAGTAGTCCTGCACAAGAAAATGAAGACGGGACCAAAACAACCAAATGGGTAGTCTGGTGCAGATAAGTAGGTAGAGGCAGAATCAAAGCAACCAGAGCAGAGGTATGTAAAGTGGGTGAAGACTGTAGTCACCTGCAGTAGTCCTGCTGGCAGTAGATGCTGCCGTCACGGCAGTAGAGAGTGAGGTGCGTCTGGAGCTCACACTGGCATTGGCTACAGCGGAGACACGCCGCGTGCCACGCCCGCCCGGCAGCCAATAGGACAAAGCGGTCGCAAACACGCCCCCCGCAGCTGGCACACACCAATGGCTCCTCTGCTATGCCTGTAGCTAGAGACTGCAACGCAAAAATAGAAAGGTCATTCTGGGGCACAAGGGCTCCGTTCCAATACTTTACAAATGCATCCCTCCTTCCTCTCTTACTTGAGGTAATCACTGACTTGACATGACTGGAGAGGTGTAAGCTGACTCATGTCAGATCAATGACTAACTTTGGTAATTGAACAAGGCCATGAAGAGACATTTCAGGGGGTCTTGGGGGCCACTCTGTATAAAAAATAGAGCCACATTTCCTGGTTTTCCTGCAATCACTATTCCTTCCTTCAAATAAGACAAATCAGAACAGGGTCATGGATATCCTGCTTCTGCTTACTTTGTGTACATAGTGGTTGTGGTCTAATGCACAAATTGAAGCCCGTTAGCTGAATCATGCATGTTAATTATGTAGTCTATCCCGGGAACAGTATTCAGACACTCGCTACTGGAGCAGTGCAAAAAAGGAGCAAAGCTTCTCTTTATGGGAAGCTTGCAAATCATGGTCTATTCATAAAAACCCATAGAATACAAATGGAGTGTAGGGCCCCTGGGCCAGCATTGAGACTGGTCTCACACGACTAGGTTGTGAAAAATACTATCAAAATGTAAAGATATTTGGTCAAGAATGATACAGATTCAGATACAATGCCTGTTTAGGAATGTTAATAAAAAATATTTGATCACTCACAAAGCTGGGGCATATGCTATTTTATAGTCCCCTTTTACAGTACTGTACGGGTTTTAGCCAACTCTTCTGACTATTGTCGTCATGACATGCATGTACGGCCGTCAGAAGCGTCTGGGACCAGGCTACAGACAAAGATAATTGGATCAGGTTAGCTGGGGCTTACACTGGCTGTGGAATTCACCTCTCCTGACCGGCTGCTCCCTTGGTTCACAGACCCCTCCCCCTTGTCACCATGGAGGATGCCATACAATAAGACCTCCAGGGTGCTGCTATCCTCTGGTGACATCATGATTGCCCTTGTGACAGAGGGAAAAAGAGGGATGTGGATCACATCAAATAACAAGACATTTAAAGAGTTCTTGTTTATTCATTACACAACTTCATTACATTTATTTCGAACACTATCCTTGCAGTGGATACTTCAATCTCCTATCCTAAAATGCACCTTTACCAAACACTTACAATACATGCAAGTAAACAACGTGGAATAAGAATACATTGCTCTTAACATAGCTATTCAATGAATTGGCTTGACTAGACTCATGAGCATAAAATGGTCTTACCTGACGTGTTGATGTCCTGAAAGCATGCACTTCTTTTGGATCCCTGAACAATATCCCCTTTAAACAGTACTATTCTCTGTCCACGTGACTACATGAACGCCTTCTCTTCGACTCAAAAAATCCTCATGTCCACACCATTATTGGGATACTAAGCAAAACAGTGTTCCCACTCGTCTTTAGTCGTTCAACTGGTGTGCCGTTTAAACATCTAACTCCCTAAATTTTGCCCAGTGTGTTTCTCGGTCCCAAGTGATGCCCTAGCACACCTGTAAACAGGACCATCCGAAGCTGTTCCAGGCAGGTGTGAGAAGATCTGATTGGCTGCCTGCTGGGAAAGCGGGTAGATCAGGGGCCAGGAGGCAGCAGAAAGCTGTCCCAAGAGATCAATTAAAAAAGGAGAGCCAAAAGGGGCATCTGGGAACACCACACCATAAGATGAAAATACAAATGAGACAAAGGCGGTGGATAAAACCACATGCACACAAACACCACAGATACCTGTTAAAATTGGGCATGACAAATAACAGGTTAATGTGAAGGAAATGAATGTCCAGGTTCTAAGTATGGATCTGTAGTCCTACAATAGCTGCATGGGTCACCATCTTCAATACAGAAATTAGTCATTAGCAGGTTGTCCACAGACATCATATATTCCACTATATGTAGCTCTATGATTTTATCCCTGCACATATGAACAGAGGTATACAAATGTGAGGCATTTCTAATTCTTTTCGTAATGAAAAAAACATTTATTTAAAATCCAACATGAAAATGATTTATAAAAACATTATTTACAGAAAATCAAATATATCTTACAGATTTTACCAGTATACTACCTTGGCTTAGGTGCCATGAGGCCCAAAACACAGATGAACTAAAGCAGTATACCCAACACAGTGTTTCCCTTCAATGTACAACAAATATTTCTAAATGCAAAACATTGGTCAATAGTCTTCGCCTGGGTTAGCATTTTGTTACAGCATATATTGAGGTTATAACTAGCATGAACATGGCAAGAACATAATGCATGTGTATTTGGGGAAAATTAGGTCCACTGATGCTTTGCATTAAAACACAGCACTGTTAGGTCCTCAACACCCCATTGTCCATGATCCAAGGTCAGATTGGCTGAGCTTGAGTGGTAAAAACCAAATATATTTGAGGCTATAACAGGCCCCACCCCAAGCCAAACTGCTCACTCCTCAATGGCTCATCTGAGCATTCTCAGAGATTATCCACTCCTCGAATTCGCCGGGCAAGCTGAATGTCACGGGGGAACAGCGTTACACGCTTGGCGTGGATGGTACACAGGTAGGCGTCGGAAAACAGTAAAACGAGGAAAGCCTCTGCAGCCTGTAAGAGAAATAATGGTGTCAAATGATGACCAGCAAACTTTCATATTGACAACATCGTTAATAGGGATACAAAAAAAAAATGAGGGCAGTTATTTTTTTGCAGATGTGTAAATATTTTTTTTTCTTCTTCAAAATAAGTGTACTATGATGTTGTTATAATACTTTTAAACTGTAAGAGAAGGGTTTAGAGCAGGGGTCTACAACGGTTTGATCGCGAGCTACCAGTAGCTGCAATTTTCACACGTTCCACCGCAAACGGTCATAAACAAATCTCACAAGTATCAGACACCGCAAACTCCTAGCTATTATTTAACCAATGCAACATTGACATTATCCCACCCTGGTTAGCCACTATTGGCTTAAAAAGCCAAACCTAACACAATATCTGCCAATTCATTTCCAGCAATATTGCCCCTTTTTTTCTGTGTGGTTGCGGGCGTTTGTCTATCACTCTGTGTGTAGCCACTGCCAGTTGATGTGATAACAGTCTTGTGGGTTGACAGAAATACTTTACATTTACATTTTACATTTTAGTCATTTAGCAGACGCTCTTATCCAGAGCGACTTACAGTTAGTGAATACATATGTTTTTTTTAAATACTGGCCCCCCCCCCTGGGAAACGAACCCACAACCCTGGCGTTGCAAACGCCATGCTCTATCAACTGAGCTACATCCCTGCCGGCCATTCCCTCCCCTACCCTGGACGACGCTGGGCCAATTGTGCGCCGCCCATGAGTCTCCCGGTCGCGGCCGGCTGCGACAGAGCATGGATTCGAACCAGGATCTCTAGTGGCACAGTTAGCACTGCGATGCAGTGCCTTAGACCACTGCGCCACTCAGGCAAAGTTTGCAAATAGCAAATAAATTATATAATTTCTCATTATATACTTTCCCCAAAACCTTCTCAATTGAATGTTAACTGCTAAGTAGGCTTACTTGGCAGAAGTATATAATGAGAAATTATATAATTTATTTGCTATTTGCAAACTTTGCCATGAAATAGGCAGCAGCAGTACAGAACCATCACTAGACCGGCACATTAGAAGGCACACTAGATGCGCAATTAAAGGGGAGTTACACGTAAATCTATTTATTTATACCAACAAAAAAAAGAAAAACCACATAAATCTAAAACCAGTCAAATTAAAAGTGAGAAGACAATTTGGGGAAGAAAAAAAAAATATCCGATTTTATAGGGCCCAACTTTAAGTTTTTTGTATTAACCATTATTTTTTTAAAGGTATATTTCTCGTGTACACTAAGGAGCTGGGGAAGAGTAGCATGGGAGAGGAGAAGAATGTGCTTATTCGAAAAGTTAGTAGCTCGCGACATGTTTCATTTTTAAAAAGTAGCTCTCATGCTAGAAAATGTTGGCGACCCAGTGGGGGGAAAAAGTATTTAGTCAGCCACCAATTGTGTAAGTTCTCCCACTTAAAAATATGAGAGAGGCCTGTAATTTTCATCATAGGTACACGTCAACTATGACAGACAAATTGAGAAAATCACATTGTAGGATTTTTCATGAATTTATTTGCAAATTATGGTGGAAAATAAGTATTTGGTCACCTACAAACAAGCAAGATTTCTGGCTCTCACAGACCTGTAACTTCTTGCACCTGCACCTGTTTGAACTTGTTATCAGTATAAAAGACACCTGTCCACAACCTCAAACAGTCACACTCCAAACTCCACTATGGCCAAGACCAAAGAGCTGTCAAAGGACACCAGAAACAAAATTGTAGACCTGCACCAGGCTGGGAAGACTGAATCTGCAATAGGTAAGCAGCTTGGTTTGAAGAAATCAACTGTGGGAGCAATTATTAGGAAATGGAAGACATACAAGACCACTGATAATCTCCCTCGATCTGGGGCTCCACGCAAGATCTCACCCAGTGGGGTCAAAATGATCACAAGAACGGTGAGCAAAAATCCCAGAACCACACGGGGGGACCTAGTGAATGACCTGCAGAGAGCTGGGACCAAAGTAACAAAGCCTACCATCAGTAACACACTACGCCGCCAGGGACTCAAATCCTGCAGTGCCAGACGTGTCCCCCTGCTTAAGCCAGTACATGTCCAGGCCCGTCTGAAGTTTGCTAGAGTGCATTTGGATGATCCAGAAGAGGATTGGGAGAATGTCATATGGTCAGATGAAACCAAAATAGAACTTTTTGGTAAAAACTCAACTCGTCGTGTTTGGAGGACAAAGAATGCTGAGTTGCATCCAAAGAACACCATACCTACTGTGAAGCATGGGGGTGGAAACATCATGCTTTGGGGCTGTTTTTCTGCAAAGGGACCAGGACGACTGATCCGTATAAAGGAAAGAATGAACGGGGCCATGTATCGTGAGATTTTGAGTGAAAACCTCCTTCCATCAGCAAGGGCATTGAAGATGAAACGTGGCTGGGTCTTTCAGCATGACAATGATCCCAAACACACCGCCCGGGCAACGAAGGAGTGGCTTCGTAAGAAGCATTTCAAGGTCCTGGAGTGGCCTAGCCAGTCTCCAGATCTCAACCCCATAGAAAATCTTTGGAGGGAGTTGAAAGTCCGTGTTGCCCAGCGACAGCCCCAAAACATCACTGCTCTAGAGGAGATCTGCATGGAGGAATGGGCCAAAATACCAGCAACAGTGTGTGAAAACCTTGTGAAGACTTACAGAAAACATTTGACCTGTGTCATTGCCAACAAAGGGTATATAACAAAGTATTGAGAAACTTTTGTTATTGACCAAATACTTATTTTCCACCATAATTGGCAAATAAATTCATAAAAATCCTACAATGTGATTTTCTGGATTTTTTCTCTCTCAATTTGTCTGTCATAGTTGACGTGTACCTATGATGAAAATTACAGGCCTCTCATCTTTTTAAGTGGGAGAACTTGCACAATTGGTGGCTGACTAAATACTTTTTTTCCCCCCACTGTAACAGTTCTTCAAATAAGCACAGGAGTGGGAACCAACCTACCTCCTGCAAGGCCAGAAGAGCATACACCTGCCATCTCATGAAGTCCCTGCTATACGTCTGGCACACCTCCCGAACCTGCGTAGACAACCTGAGTAAACAACCTTGCAATTCACTGTAGATAAATAATCAGGAAAGATTAACTCAGGGTAGCAACTTGAAGTGTAAAAACAAGCATTTTAGTTTATCCTTCCAGATTAAGACACTACCAGTTTACCAGACCCTATACATGCATAAATGCTTGATTTTGCTGCGGCAATTCTATCATTGCAATGATTTTGTCCAACTTGTCAAGAAAATGCACTGACAAGGGAATGTTTGGTGACATGTGGCTTAATTGGTTGAAATTGCAAACCCCCTTTTTGTAGTGCGGTGATTGGTCAGTTTTGTGTGATAATATTGCGATAATTTGACTGTTGTATGCGGTAATAGTGCGGTGATTGGTCAAATATGCAAGCTCTCGCATAATATGCGGGGCATTGTTGATTTAGCAAAAAAAGAATGATCGCTAAATGCTGGAGACCCACATAGAGCAAAGTTCACAGGGCTAATATGCATTATCAACAACAAGTAATGTATTGTCAGACAGTGGCAGCATCCATCTTAGAATGTAAGGTGACTATAGACAAATGGTGGTTATAAAATCGGTCCTCAGGAGCCATGTGCTAATCAACCTCTACCAGACAAGACAGTGGCGACAGAGCCAGGGGTATCGTACCAGGCGTGCAAACGGTCCTTTGCGCAAAAGCAAGTCAGTGCTCTTTTGGTACTTGCGAATTTCCATCAGAGCTCGGGTGCCAGGGCGAAACCTCCTCTTCTTTCGCGGGGAGGGAGCTGGACCTGCAGAGGCTAGAGAGACCAAAATCAACTTTAAAAACAATGGGAACAAAACCTTATAATAAAATGTATTCATTGAAACACTATTAACTAGTGGTTCACATACATAGCTAAACAAAAACAGTTTGCTTCAGTGTCAGCATTGAGAAGCCATGAGACCAACCCACATTCCCCCGCTTCCCTGTTCTCCTCACCCGATGGTCCGCTCAGCCGTGGTGCCTTTGCCTTTGATGTTGAAGCAGGCGCAGTTGGGGCTGGAGGCCGACGCTTGGGTGTTGCACCCTTGCGCCGGCTTGCAGAAGAACTGTCAGGATCGCGACGAGGCATCCGCCAATACTAGTTCACAACACGGCGTCAATGAAGCCAAACTGTTGCCTGATGGTGAAGAGGAGATGGAGAAAAGTAATGCTTTGTGACTTGCTCCAGTATTGACCATATAGCTTGCATGGTCTTCGTCATTAATCTTGCATCACACACACACACCTCTGAACCTCTGTTAGCCATATGGTGCATATTGGAAATGAAGACTAAAAATCCCCTTATGACAGAGGTGTCAAACTCATTCTACGGAGGGGCCGGAGTATCTGCTCATTTTTGTTATTTCCTTTCAAAATTGTCCAATTAAAACCTAGACAACCAGTTGAGGGGAGTTCCTAACTAATTCATGACCTTAATTGATTACTCAAGTACAAGGGTCGAGTGAAAACCCGCCGACACTCTGCCCTCCATGGAATTAATGAGTGAGGGTGTTAAATTAATCTAGACCGGGCACCCGTGTAGGCGTGTTTTGCACCGGCTGAAAGTTTATCACATTCAATTTGGAACCGGGCTGCCTCCCAGGAGTGAGCCAGGTGCCTCTCTGTCCGACGGCGAACTCGGCTCAAAACAAAAGTGACATAATTAAGCATGTGTACTAATAGATGTATTTTATATACGCTTTTCATTACAAGTAGAATCTCACAGTCGCTTTAAAAACAAAAATTAACAAAAATGTTTGGGGGATCTGGCAGTTCTAGAGTGATGGTCTTCCACAGCTTTAGATGATAGGCAGTTCGGAAAGGTAGTATCTTGAGCGGAGGGAGCATAGATGGAACAGCCAGGCAGAGAGGTAGAAACATCTGACAAACAGGCCACGGAGCTCTTCTTCGGGCACCTCGTTGTTTTTTATGTTCACAGCTCCTTCTCCGTAGGTAGGCTGGATCGTTCAATACTGAAATGTAGCACCCACCTGGGTGATGCTTCAGCAACTGTAAAAGCAGCAGTATATCTACTACTCCTCAGCAGTAGTCTGGAAAAGCCCCCTATGAGGCGAGCCTCTGCATCTCCTCACACCGCTGTCAACTTCCCTCTAGGAACCGGGGCAAGTGGCCAAAAAGCTGATGCTGTTTATCTGGTGTTGCTGCATCATTCAAATCATACTATTTTAGCTAGCCAAGCCAAAAACAAGTTATCAAAAACAAAAAACGTTGATTTAAAAATTCAGTAAAAAAACACTTAAAACAAAAGTACCATATTTACAGAGCTCTCTGCCTAGGCTACCTCAGGGCGCCATGACAACCACAGAATTATTGTAGTAATGAGTCGATTCTCTATTCACATGCAAAAGTGATTGCTGAAAAATGTACATATCGCTCCCTCCCTGCTTTCGCCGATGATGTAAACGGCCCATAGCATGGTGTACCCCGGGCCAGATTAATCAAACCAACCCCCCTCAGTGACACGTTGGCCCAAGGTTCAGTAGGGTTCAGGGTCGGATCATCTCAAGGGTCCCTCTTAGCATCTACCATGGTCTGGTAACTGGCTGTGTCATGTTAGGCTGAGGCATGACATCGTGGGGTCACGTTCAGGGGGGCGTTCTGATAGGTGCAACGTTCTTCAGTACATCGAAACATTCTGAGGATAAGCAATTTGTTATACATAAAACATTATACAACGGATGGGTCTAATCCTGGATGCTGATTGGTTAAAACCGCATTCCAGCCGGTGTCTGTTCCACAAGTTACCACCAGCTAAAGCTATGACATTTAAATGCCCATTTACTCTGTTCCATCTCACTGCGCAATCACCTGTCTCATCAGCCCAGCCTGGCAATTTATAAACTTGATCTCCACTATAAAAAGCATCTAGACATGACATTATCTCCCATTTTTTTTTTTTTAGGTTTTCTCAGCCAGTCGAAATCATGAATCAGCTGGCATAATTTGTATGTATATATAAAGAAATGTCAACAGAAAACAGGTAAAACGAAACGCAGCTAGATTGCTTTATTTCCTGTTTGAAGTGATTGTGTTGGCTAGCTCCTCTGAACAACAGTGCATTTTCTATGCCAGGCGAAATCGCGCATCATCAGCTCATTGTTATGGACCTATCCAAATAAATGTCACTAGAAAACAACTTAAACAAACGCCATTGTAGCTACTTTGCTGTTATTCTGTCTGCAGTGTTTGACGTGACTAAGTTAGCCGTAGTTGTTGGCTAGCTAGCAAGCAAGGGATAAGAACGTTGCCAGCAAGTATGGCAATGGAACATTTAGAACGAACGACTGGGTCGCGTCCATAGATACAGAACAAAAATACTTAACGACTGGGTCGCGTCTCTGGCAACCGAACCGATAGAACGAACGACCAGCGGCTTGGGTAGCAACCTTAGATTTGTGTCGGGACTATATCTCGTGGAAGGATGAATACATTCATCAACATAACGTTTAGGTATTATCACTTAACGTGAAGTATCTGAACCGTCCTGAACATGCCTCTGAACCAAACCAGGGGCAAACTAACTGGAAACAATGCAAAACAGCATTTACTCAAAAGGTAGCAAGCAGATAGTTCACCAACTTGCCACAAGCTACTTACAGTAACTAGTTAGCTAGCTAGCATCGAGTTGAACACAGAGAATTTGGTAAATCAAGAATAAGCTAACGGTAACTGGCACGTTCATTTCAGGGAGGTAAGAAAGCTAAGTAACTAGCTAGTTCTTCAGAGCTTTGGGCATCTACTAAATCAGCCATCTACATTGAGCAAGCATGGCACCGCTAACTTAGCAAACCATACAGAGCTAGCATAACCTTTGAACGTGTCGAAATGTCACACTTACCAGCCGATACAAATCTTATGTGAAGCGCTTTTTGTCAACAATGCACCAAAGACTAAACTTCTCCCTGAACCAACGTCACCAAAATTCAAATAACGCTCGTTGGTGTCCGTCTCCTTGCAGAGCCAATGATATTTATCGATGGGCAAATAAAAACGCCTCGTTTACCGTTACTCCAATGGGTGGTGTCAGAGAAAGTGAAGCTGCTTGTTTATTGGACCAGTCACATCAGTCAGCTCGAGCATCTGATTTGCCATCACATTAACAACGTACAGTGACATATACAACAATGAGACAGATATTTCACCGGATGTATAAATGTGAAGCATTTGGTTAGTTATACAAATCTTTGGTACAGTAGCAACAGCATATCTAGCAGTAATATGTCATAACCTCTAGTAATATAACAAAGTAGCTTGTAATAGTAAGAACAATTATACAGACATATTCAACATTAGATTTAGATGTGTGTATGGTTTGGTGTGTGGGGTTATCATAGTGACCGTGCTGTACTATTGCATGCATGTTCTGGTAGAAACTTCTAATAGGTTTAATAAAAATGTCTAAATGCATTAATTGTATTTTGGTAGTAAGTACCGGTCAGGATTTAGAATTAAAGTAGACACTTTTACTAATGAGTTTTGGAATTCATGAGTGTGTTTGATAATGCCTGCAGCAGCAAACGTTTCACTGAGTGTCCATAAGCTGAATTGATTCATCAAGAACATCCAGAGGCAGGGGTGTGACCGTCTTTGTCAAAACTGCAGTGGTGCCAGGCTTGTACTTGTACTGTCCTTCTCTGGAAACAGGCAAAGAGAAAGGAAAGATTTACAGTATATTATAAATTCCCGTTGTGAATAATCAAGTAATATTCACACAATTGTGTTAGTTGTAGCCCAATAGAAACTTGTATAGCTCACTTTTTCCCCTTTTGGGCAGGCTGGTCATAGCCCCTAAGATACTGCACCCCTGCCTGAGTGATGACACACAGGTCCACATTACTACCAGAGCCCAGGTCACAGAAAATCCCAGCAGTAATGGCATCCCGCACCAGCTTTTTAGCCTCTTCCAGCTGAGCAAGATAGACAGATAAGACAGGTGAGCAATACATTGTATGAAATTAACAACTGTTCAATGAAAATAACTGCATCTCACCTCCATGTTTGGTCTGTATCTGTCCTCAAAGATAGAAATAGCTGCCCCTGCTCCTGAACCTGCAAATACAACGGCAGTACTGTTACCTTTTTCTAATGTTTCAATATTCAATACAACTTCATACCATTAGAAGCTCTTCCCACGGCCCAGATGCATTATTTGATGGCAATAGATGATTACCAAAGACAAAGAATACAGACACAATCTATCTGTGATCATGATGGACTGAAACACAACAAATTCTCCATCGCTGACAAAGTCAAGCATTGACTAGATAAACAAATGGAGAGCAATACCCATAGTAAGGAATGGTAATTTGTCGTAGGAGCCGTGTGGGTAGACACTGTAGAGGTGAGCGCCAGTCACATCCACACCTCCAACAATCAGAGAGGAGCCAATATGTCCCTGGTACCTGGAGTGGAAGCATTGCGGAAGCCACAATTCAGGTGTAGAGAGCTACAATGTAATAGCATCATCATAATGTTTGTGATAAAAATGTGTTGTTGTAATCAAATGAGGGATGTGATATCATTTATGAAGGCACTATTGTGGCAGTTATTTTATATTATGGCCTGGAAAGTAACTACATTTTCAGCACTGAGAATGGCCACTGTAGATGTCTTATTTTCCCATCGTCACAGACTCATTCATGCTCTCTCACCTGAAGAGCATCTGTTTCAGTTGTCGGGTAACCGTGACAACAAGGGGAGGGCGTCCTGTGCTGAGTGAGTGTAGCTCCACATTGGATGACATCATCTGAGTGGTTACTTCTGCATCTGCAGCCACACCTGCTCCACAACAGCTACAATAAAAACTGAGATTAGTGGGTGAAACACGGTGGTTCAAATAGACTTCAACAAAAGCCTCTGTCTGTGCATACCATTGTGCAGGGGCTGATGCTGAACTACATAGGGGTTACACAAAGTACACTATTATACTGTACGAGGTGTATTCTTTGTGGCACTTACTAGATGTTGGGTGCAATGTAGTGGATCTTCATGCAATTCTTGTCAGCTACCACCATGTCATCAGTGGCTCTTGTGTCCGCTCCAAGTATCACCCCATCCTGTGAAAGGAGGGAGGAAACCCAAACTATAATCATACTTAGTGAATGAATTGTGCGGAGCTCAATCCTGAGAAGGCTACATCACAGTAAGCGGAAAATGTGTAATATACTGATTCTCACCTTGAAGACTATGCCAGCGATGGTGGTTCCAGTCTTCCTTGCCTTAGGAGAACTGTAACCAAGCTCTGACAAATTCCCCTCCAACACAGCATTCCTGCAAAGTGAGCACTTGTTATTATGCAATGTTGGATATGTTTAGAGGAGCTGGCTTTGTGTTGGCCTAAGTAGAGCCCGACCAATCACTGGGGCCAAGTACATCACTGGGGCCAAGCTTCCTGCCATCCAGGACCTCTATACCAGGCGGTGTCAGAGGAAGGCCCTAAAAATTGCAAAGACTCCAGACACCCTAGTCATAGACTGTTTTCTCTGCTACCGCACGGCAAGCGGTACCTTAGCGCCATGGTTTTTCTATGTCCAAAAGGCTCCTTAACAGCTTCTACCCCCAAGCCATAAGACTGCTGAACAGTTAATCAAATGGCTACCCAGACTATTTGCATTGACCCCCCCTTTTTAATACGCTACTTGCTGTTTATTATCTATGCATAGTCACTTTACCCCTACCTACATGACCATATTACCTAAATTACCTAGATTAACCTGTTCCCCCACACATTGACTCGGTACCGGTACCCCCTGTATATAGCCTCGTTATTGTTATTTTATTGTGTAATTTTTGGGGGACTTTAGTTTATTTAGTAAATATTTTCTTAACTCTTATTTTTCTTAAAACTGCATTGTTGTTAAGGACTTGTAAGTAAGCATTTTACAGTAAGGTCTACACCGGCTGTATTCGGTGCATGTGAAAAATAACATTTGATTTCATTGATTTTGACCGATATCTCGGTCCACCGATATTATCTGCCGATATTGGCCTTTTAACACATATCGGTATCAGCCGATAACCGATTTTTCAATAATAGGACGAAAAAACGGGAATTTCATGCTTATCTGCAACACTTTGCGGCCATTCTCATGATGTGTCCTTATTGTCAAATGTATGAAATCAACATTTGAAGCATAGTTATTGGACCATTGCTCTTTGGATGGCAATTTATGAAAATTCTGTGAGGACAAAATGACACTTTTTTAATTTCCCTGATATATAACAGTATATCTGCAGATCATCTGTGTCGGTAAAGTTTGCTAAAACTGCATTTACATGGTAACAATATGTAGGCCTACAGTATTATTCTGTTTTAAACTGTGCGATATTGTTAATTATTTTTTCTGTAGGTTCACCATTTTACACAACCTGACAAAATCTTTATAAAATTCAGAATAAATGACATTCTAATTAGCCACATTTATATCAGTTTCTTTAACAATTTCAGACAGGTACAGTAATTAAAGGACAATTCTGCCACTTTCAACCTCATATTCATCTCCAGCACCAAACAGTGTGTTTCTATGATTTGTGGTTAAAAAGATAAGGTCCTAAAATTGTTTAATCACAGGGTAGGATTAAAAGTCAAAAAGTGATTTTCAAAACCTGCTACAAGGGAAGGTATTTTCTTGCTCCCCACATCACCGCGAATCTGTGTTTGAAAATCACTGTTTTAACTTTTGATGTCATGGGGTAGAACTTTTTTACTTTGTATTTTTTCTACAAAACCTGCCATTTTCACATATGTTGACAGTCCAGAGGAGGCTGGTGGGAGGAGCTATAGGAGGAATGGAATAAATTGAACTGAGTCAAACATGTGGTTCCATATGTTCAATATCGTTCAATAATGCCATTCAGCATTCAAGCTCTATCTATAGCTCTCACCAGCCTTGGTTGATGTTGGTATTGTGATGGAGATAATGAAAATCAGGTTGAAAAGTGGTGGAGTTTGCCTTTAATGCGCGCGAATTGGGTGTCGACCAATATCTGGTCTTGAAACCCTTGGAGTCCACTACAACCAGAAAATTTCTCGAAATTTTTGATACATTTTTTTATATGTTTACAGTAAATGCCATCTCAAATTACCTGTGACCACTGTGAATTAAACTCACCTTTCGATTTTTAAAGGAAATAACCAGCCTTTGAGGTTTGGCTAAGGTTCGGAATTATGGAGGCATCTCTAATCTGATGGGCGAATCGAATCCAACCCTAGAAGAGCCCTTCAGGTTGAAGGTGAGTAAAGCCTACTGCACTTTATATCTTTCTACCCTTGTTTACTTTGTAAACGTTGTCACGGTACACTGAGTCGGCTGGAATCAGCATTTCGTGGGGAGACTCTTTCACTTTCAATTTAACACATCTAGCCTCGAGAATCAAATACGGTATGCCAGGAGACAAAATGGAATTCTGAGGGAATACCCTTTTGTTAAGAACGTCAAAAGTAGATTTGTTTTTAATTTTAGCTAAGCCTTTTCTTAACCTTAATCTAATATCCTAACCGCTGCGTAAATTCTAACATGCTACAAAAAAGTCAAATCGACAAAACTGTATACCATCTAGTCAAAACCGAACAAAATGGATTCTCAATGGCTGTTGGCTATAGCAGTGCTTATCTCATTATTTTATGTTGACGACCCCCTAGGAAGAAGTAAACATTTCGCGCCCCCCAACTCTCCGCCGCGACTGTAAATATATAATTTGTCTATAAAATGGTTATATGTACACCTCTGCATAACATTGTATCCTTATTAACATTAAAAGAATAAAAAGAAAGAAGAATATAGATCAACTTACAACAAAGAATAACTTTATTAACATTGTAACAGAAAATACTTAAAGTGCATCATTTGCCTGAAATTTAAAAAAAAGCAACCCTTAGTTAACTGTAAACATTTTTTGACCATTTGATACTGAAAAATAAAATTAAATATAATCAATAATAATAATACATTCAAATTGATCAGCAACATTAAGTCAGGATTAATGGCTACATGAGCACGTTTTGCAGTGCACAGCTTTTCGAAGCGGGGTTTGAAGCATGATACTGCAACTCTCAGCTCCTGCTCAATGTTTAGCTGGTACCTGTACTTGGTCTTCAGTGCAGCAAACAGCAGAGAAGCCAGTCTCACAAAGAGAGGCAGTATCCACTCTTAGCCCTCTGCCCTAAGAGTGGATACTGCCTCTCTAACTCAGCCAGAATTCACTCAGTGTCTATGATGTGAACCTCAGTCTCAATGTGGAGTCAGATGTGATATCAATGAACTGGTCCTCCTCTGCAGAGCTGAAACCAGTTGAGCTGGTGCATTGAAATGATCTCTCACATATGGGAACTGTTTTGTCTCTTTGTCCTGATGATGTATTGGCTCTGATGGGTTCTCTGTCTTCAGTGTCAGCAAAAATGGGTGTGTGTGTGTGTGTGTCGGGTAAGATGATGTGTGTGGTCTTTTCTCAGTGATGATGTGTGTGTGTGTGTGTGTGTGTGTCCTCAGAGCAAGAACTCGTGAGTTGGAAGAACTGAGAGACCTATGGCGTGGGTGTTGTCCTTGGCCACCTGCTGACAAGGCTGACAAGATAGGGACTCTTTTGTCCATTGTTATAGGATAGGAACAGCATTGATTGAAAACAAACGCCCAACACAAAATGGGTCATGCACAAGATTTTAGTCAGACCAAGCTATAACATTATATATTTACTACGACAGTACATTCAACCAAAAGCTAATATAACAAAGGCATCAGAGATTATTTATAATCTGTCACAGAAACTGGAATCCATCTCCCCAGATCAGTCAATAAATGCTTCTGGTATTGACTTATATGCTGCCCCTGTCTTCATGTTGTTGCTGGACATATCTTTTTTAAAATGTGTGTAGGTCACCTAAATCATCAGAAAAATTGCCCCTCCTGAGAATTTTTTCAGGAGCCGCCACTGCTTAGCGCCATGGTTTTTCTATGTCCAAAAGGCTCCTTAACAGCTTCTACCCCCAAGCCATAAGACTGCTGAACAGTTAATCAAATGGCTACCCAGACTATTTGTTTGACCCCCCCTTTTTAATACGCTACTTGCTGTTTATTATCTATGTATAGTCACTTTACCCCTACCTACATGTCCATATTACCTAAATTACCTAGATTAACCTGTTCCCCCACACATTGACTCGGTACCGGTACCCCCTGTATATAGCCTCGTTATTGTTATTTTATTGTGTAATTTTTGGGGGACTTTAGTTTATTTAGTAAATATTTTCTTAACTCTTATTTTTCTTAAAACTGCATTGTTGGTTAAGGACTTGTAAGTAAGCATTTTACAGTAAGGTCTACACCTGCTGTATTCGGTGCATGTGAAAAATAACATTTGATTTAATTTGATTTTGACCGATATCTCGGTCCACCGATATTATCTGCCGATATTGGCCTTTTAACACTATATCGGTATCAGCCGATAACCGATATTCAATAAATAGGACGAAAAACTGGAATTTCATGCTTATCTGAACACTTGTGGCCATTTTCATGATGTGTCATTATTGTCACAATGTATGAAATCAACATTTGAAGCATAGTTATTGGACAATTGCTCTTTTGGATGGCAATTTATGAAAATTCTGTGAGGAAAAATGACACTTTTTAATTTCCCTGATATATAACAGTATATCTGCAGATACATCTGTGTCGGTAAGTTTGCTAAAACTGCATTTACATGGTAACAATATGTAGGCCTACAGTAATTATTCTGTTTTAAACTGTGCGATATTGTTAATTATTTTTCTGTAGGTTCACCATTTTACACAACCTGACAAAATCTTTATAAAATTCAGAATAAATGACATTCTAATTAGCCACATTTATATCAGTTTCTTTAACAATTTCAGACAGGTACAGTAATTAAAGGACAATTCTGCCACTTTTCAACCTCATATTCATCTCCAGCACCAAACCAGTGTCTACATATGTGAAAACTGTGTGTTTCTATGATTTGTGGTTAAAAAGATAAGGTCCTAAAATTGTTTAATCACAGGGTAGGATTAAAAGTCAAAAAGTGATTTTCAAAACCTGCTACAAGGGAAGGTATTTTCTTGCTCCCCACATCACCGCGAATCTGTGTTTGAAAATCACTGTTTTAACTTTTGATGTCATGGGGTAGAACTTTTTTACTTTGTATTTTTTCTACAAAACCTGCCATTTTCACATATGTTGACAGTCCAGAGGAGGCTGGTGGGAGGAGCTATAGGAGGAATGGAATAAATGGAACTGAGTCAAACATGTGGTTG